AAAGAAGTATGTACTTTTTGTGAGAAAGAGTATTCAACCCTACGGAGATAAATGCTATGTTTTTTGTTACCGCGCGTGCTTTATGGACTGGTGTTTACGCTTGATAATGATGTTCAGACTTGATAAATGTCTGGCTAGAAGATGCGAATCCCAGCTCAATTGTGCATTTGCTCGGGTAAACGAAAGCGAGTAGCCCGCATCATTGCATCCACCAAATCATATTTTTGCAGCAATGCAATTTTTTAGTCTACTAGTGACTTCACAGCTGATTCCACACATCTTCACACATCTTCTGCAGAACGCGATGATTAATGTGCGTCGAAAAAGTGTAGACATATCAAGCAAGGTGTTCGCATAGCTAATCTTACGTATTATACCTCTTATTTACTGCTTAGACCACTTCTATGCATCAATTTCTCAATCCCTTCAGTATTCTCGCACTTTATGTTCTTACCTGTAAAATAGCCATTTTTCATTATCCAAAAATTGTATTTGTAAAAATTCAATACTGAGCTACTTAAGCCATATGGTTTCCTTGCCATATAAAGACCAAAACTTTGAGCAGTATTAGCTGAGGATTTGCTCTGTGTATATCGCAAAGCTACCGAGAGATTACTGGTTAAAATTTGTACAAAAATTCATGACTCCCAAAAATTGTTCATATAAAGATTATCCTTATTAAAAGATAGCTGCAGTGGAAAAGAACTTTGGAGAAAAGAAAGCGAAAAGTCTACATAAAGTTTCCAGCAGAAGTATAGCTTTAGATGGGAATCAGGGCTCGACACAGGGGGCTTTAAAGGCATCGTCCACCCAAAATTTCGACCTTCATGTTTTTGCCGTTCCAGGGCCTTCTCACGCCCCTGATTCCGATTATCATGTCGGAAATCCGCGAGAACCATGAAAACCCTTTTTCAGAGCCAGCAGAGCGATTTTTTCGGAACGGTGATTGGTTGGGCGCGCACGGACGGGCGGAACGAACGTCACGCCCACTCAAAGAGGAGGAGCCAACGTGGCGAATTCGTCATCCGAGCGATTTTCGAAGTAATTTTCTCGCTTCGGAAGCGACTTTGGGGAGCGCGAGTTGGATAAGTATGCAGTTGGGGGCCCCACTACTGTTGAGCATCAAAATCTTATCGACCCCATTTTAGTTGGGCGGTGCCTTTAAGCATGCTGGATAACGTTTTTGAAACAAAAAGCAAAGGAGATATCGTTTTTGTGGCCGAAAACACAACTTAGATTACGTTTTTTAGTCAACTTTCGTTCTTTTTTGAGGGTTTTTACGCTTAGGGTTTAGGGTCAAAGGGGGACTTCGTGAAACTTTGCGAAAGTCAAGGGGGACTTCGTGAAACTTTGCGAAACTCAAGGGGGACTTCGTTTATTCAAATTTTCAGAAAACCTCGGGCGGAGCCCTGATCGAAGTTGAAGGTTTTTGGAACAACTTTCCTCTTCCTCTAGAAAACTCTAGAACTTTGACAAAACCATCAGAAGTGCTGAAAGACCAAGTATTATCTATTAACATCATTTTCATTATCACGGACAGGAGCTTCAGTAATATAAAGAAGACTTTAGGGCACTTCAAATTACAGCTTTCTTGAACTTCCACAAAACTTTTTAGATTTCCGAGAGCATCAGTTATACGAAGACACTTTGAATGTACAAGCTTTTTACAGAGCGAAATTGGAGTTCGATAAAAACAAATTTTAAAAACTGCGTCATCCCGTTTGATACAGGTGTGTCCAAAAGCAACAATTTTCGCAGGATTCAAACATAAAAAACTTTCAAGATTGTTGTAAAGATTTTTCTTTTCGAATCCTGACAATACTTACGTTTCGACCTACTAAAAGTTCAAGAAAAGGATAGCGGAAGCCGATCTGAATGGGCATTGATGATTTTGAGCTGTTATTGCGACTATTATGTCACGTCGATTGGCTGCGAAATTGGGCAAAGTTCCCTTTTCCCCATCATTTTCTACCTGTTTCTTATCTTTTTTTTTCGTGGGCGAGAGAAGAATGAGGGATGTATGATGAGGTGACATCTAATTGCCTAGGCGCCTGAATTTTTTATATCAACCTTTCGAAATCGGGAGCCATTGAATCTGAAATAATGGCCACGCATGAAATACTAGTAGCTGTTGTGTACATGTACTACGATGTTTTCACACACGAGCGCATAAAATTCGTCAAAATCCCAGGCGGAAGGGGTAGAGCCACGGCTCAGGCTGTACTTTGCTTCCACGATATTCGACCCACACAGATTTTTCTCACCCCTCTTCATTTTCCTTCTGCACTTAGCGGGCTTTTAGTGACTTAGTCTTCAGCAAGTCAACCTTTGCTTGCAGTTGCTCTTTTGGTTTGTTTCCGTAATAATAATTCTGAAGTAACTTTCTCAAATTTGGCTAGCTGTTTTTCTCAGTACGTAATTATCTTCACTAATTGCATTTTTTTGTAGAATGGAGATCAGAATTATTATTTATTGTCTATATTATTATTTATTTATTATTTATTATTTATTATTTATTATTTATTATTTATTATTTATTATTTGTTATTATTATCCATTTAGTATATTATGTTAGACATGTTCTAAAAAACGAGCTAATCCAATTGGGAACCATATTTCAATTCATCCAACCTTCGTTACTCCATTCGGACGAAGTATGAGATTTCCAAGCTGAATTGTTCAGTATGGAAGGAAAGACAGAAAGAGCTAAATTATGTCATTTTTGATTTTAGCGCAGCGGTTTAGTTTTTGAAAACGACACTGTAACTGTAATAAGATAAGTGTAAATTGCAGTATATTCACGAGGTCGCTTTTCAGAATAATTTGTCTTTATTTGAAACTTTGAGAAGAATGTTGAATAATGGGTACTTTCTTCGTGGACTGTAAAATCCATGTATTTCAGCATTAAAACCTCGGGTTAGGCAACTTGAGCAAATTTTTTGAGATGGCTTCTAGTTTTACAACATTTTTTGGAAAATAGCAAGTAAGAAAATGTTTGCCAACTGTGTTTGTTAGTCACAGTCATGGCCCCATAATTTGACATATCTGAACCAAAGTTGTTTCAAAAGAAATCAGTTTTTTGCACTTAGTGAAGAGACAATCCTTCTTGGTTGCCGAATTTTCCAGCTATTCTAAGAATTCATTTAGCCACCCATTTGCGCAGAACCTTTTCATTTTCACCTTTTATGTGGTTACCCATTAGTCTTATGTTTTTCGCCCCCACGATAAGCATAGCACAATGTACTCAATCCCACAATCTTTGCTCTTCGGAAGGGTTTGATGAAAGAAATGCGGGGAGTACGTGGATAGAGATAACAGGGAACTCGAATTTCTGGAAAAGGTCATAACTGTTCATTATTTTCCGAATTTGTTACGCTTTATTCAAGACAGCTCTTCATGTACTATTTTGTAGCGGCCTAATTTTGTTAACCTACACTAAATTTTTTGAATTTGAGCATTGAGCGTGGTTGCTTCTACGACATGGGCTCCTTGGTCTGGCTAGTCGTGAATTACGATTGATGCACGACCTGCATGACTTCGTCTAGACATTTTGAAAACGATATCTTCTGACTTTCGCATTTTAGGAAGTCCCCTTTGACCCTCAACGGAAACGTCCAAAAAACCTTCACCTAAGTTGTGTTTTTCGGACCCACAAAAAATAGCCCCTTCGCTTTTTCGTCCCGAAAAGGAAGTCCGGCCTGCTTTCAGACGATCTATGCCAGGCCTTGGGTTAATGCTTTCAAGTGCTCAATGCATGTTACCTCAGTGCCTAGAAAAGAGCTGGGATAAAAATAGCTGTAAAATGAAATGTAACGAATGACGGTGGACGCTTTCTTCCAATTCTGTAGGACTCAAATTTTCATTATTGAGTGTGCGATTTGTTTGCTTTCTGGTCGTACACCACAGGATTCAATCTAACCAGTTTACCCTTTCAAAAAGCAAAATCAGCAGTGTTTCGAAAAGCTCTCTATTTCACCCTAAAATTCTCTCATTTGATCATTTTTAATATAAATTCGAGCAAAAATGCACATGCGATGTCCCTTAAGTACATAGGTGGGTCTTTAGATCCAGACTTGTTAGTAGCTTCGTTATTGTTGTTCGCAACATAATTGTTTCCTAAATGCTCTTACGTACGAATAATCCATTCACACTTTGCTTCGCGCCCAATTCAGTGGGCGATCAAGATCGACACCTCCAAAATTTTTTGAAGAGATTTTTCGTTATTGTGATGAGTGTTTCATTATTTTTTATCTTGCCTTCTGTAACATGCCTGCTACTCGAATTAGATGATGAGGCTTTTTTTTCCAACTGTAAGAAGGAATTAGTAAAGAATCATAAAGCTTTCCGTATTCCCAGATATACGATTTCAATCAGATTTCCCAGATATTTCCCAGAAAATATTCAAGGAAATTAGGCCTCAGTGATTTATTACCTCTCTCAAACTTCTTTTTTCAACAGAATTTTCAGAAATGTTGCCAGGCATGCAAAAATCTTTCAGTCAAGTCTAAAGCACTTCCAAGCGTTTAAAATGGGTGCTCAGAATTTTTTAAAATTATGACATAAGCATTTGGAACTGATTTACGAATACAGGATAATTTACGTACACCAGTCATCCCTAAATATACGAATTTGACGCTTTGGGTTTACAGAAAACTCCTCAAGTTTGCAATTATACTCTGGTAGAAATCTTAGAGGGGGCTTTTCTCAAAGGAAAATTCCCTCGGTACCTTTGTATTCAAAGAACAGCTATACTGAGGCTTTCATTGTGAAGAACAGCTTAATTTTTTTATCAAAATAATGTTTTACGCATTATTTCTCCACCAATCTGCCGACAAAGTTTTAAAAACCCTCGTTATTCAACGAGGATAAACACACATTTCATGATGAGCATTCATGATTTTTTTATCCGAATCTTCTTGTCTATAAATGTCTTTTTTATTTTCAACATTCATTATGATCCATTGCAGAACTATTTTCAAACCAGAGGAAAATGTGATTTCATGTCGCTAACGGCAAATTGCACTACTCACCAGTTTTTCTGCCACATATCCAGGTATAAACCTTATAGTCGTCATAATCTTGTTGAAACCTAAATTTCTGTCCCCCTCCCCCCTACCCATTTGTACTCAAGCTTCGCTATATGATTATAGAGAGCAACAGATCTGCCGGTTGGGATGGTTGCTGCTGTTTCTGTGGTTGACCACAATATTATGGATGACCAAGGTTAGGTTGACGAGTTCTGTTTGATAACTTCATTCTGCCATATTCAGGATCTCTGGTGTGGTGGACCACCCATCGAGACGACTTCTGAAGATTGTATCTTGCCTAAAGAGGAAATAAAAACAGAAAAGAAGTTTGTGGCCGCGTGCTGATACTCACTGCCTATGTTTTGATCAAATTTTTCAATTTTTATGATTTATTTGCTGTAAAGTGGTTATTTGAATGTGAAGAGCCTATAAAGAAATTAAAGTCTCACACCAAGCAGCTATACATGAAATACCTTGTGGTGTGTAGGCTATTTTATATAGAACGACTCCTTCAAACAGCCAACGTCTTTTCACTCAAAGAACGAAAATTATTGAGGCAGCAAAATGCACAGCGGTGTAGAAATTCTAGCAAAAAAGTTCGAAAACCACGAACTTTGTAAAAAAAAACCATGTAGGGATAAGAGCCCTTCTTTCACAATGTGTCACCTATTTGATAATTGAAAAAGTACCGTAGAGCAGCTTCTCGCACTTTATTTAATGCTCTATGTCAAGAGATGAAGTGTCTAAAGACTCATTTTCTCCTCATAACCTTAAAAGGATATTGAGAAAGCGTGAGAAAAGTAAAATTATGCTCAATTTTTTGGTAACAACCGACTCGTTCGCATTCCTCAATCAGTTTCTCCTCAATCAAAATGGCACGTGCTTCTGAAAGCTCTTACCCTGCTCTATCAAATTCTTGCCTCAGTAATCCAAATTATTCTGAAAATCTGAACTGAATCTGGAGAACAAAGTATAAAGAAGGTATTTGACACTTTATCACGTCGCCATTCGTGTGGGTCAAAAAGCTTGGAAAATGGCCTGAAGATCTAGTATTATCTAGGAGGATTTTTTAGTACGAAGATTGTCAAAAATTTGTTTGAAGAAGTTTCACTTGCAAGTGTTTCACTTGCTTTCTTCTCGCTTTCTATGCTCAGAAAAAATCCAATAAACGTGTAGAGCTTGATGTGCTCTATCGAATGATACCCTAAATCTACTACGAAAACAAAAACATTTTGAAATACTTGAAAAAGGAATTTACTTTTAGGACAACGTAATATACCTCATCTTATATATAAAGCTGAATGTCTGTTTGTCTGTCTGTCTGTATGTCTGTATGTCTGTCTGTCTGTGTGTACGTATGTTCCGAATAGAAAATTCCATTTCTGAACTGATCCGGACCAAACTTGGCACACATACACTTTGGGCCCCGGCGGGTGTCATAGGCTACTTTTCGTCATCGATCGATATCGATTTTATCGATTTTTTGCAAAATTTAAGCTACGGGGCTGGGATTTGGCACAGGGGGGTAATCGAGCATGGGGGTTTCGAATACAATATTAGTTTTTAAAATCGTGCATTACTTTTATCGATTTTATCGATTTTTTTGCAAAGTTTGAGCTACGGGGCTGGGATTTGGCACAGGGGGGTAGTCGAGCATGCTGATCACTCCCGTGGGGGTGATCAGCATGCTCGATTACACCCCGCTGCCAAATTCCAGCCCCAGCTCAAATTTTGCGAAAAATCGATAAAATCGATAAAAGTAATGCACGGTTTCGAAAACTAATATTGTATTCGTAATCAACATGCTCGATTACCCCCCTGTCCAAATCCCAACTCCCTAGCTCAAATTTTGCAAAAAATCGATAAAATCGACATGGGTCGATAGCGAAAAGTGGACTGTGACACCCGCCGGGGCCCGAAGTGTATGTGTGTCAAGTTTGGTCCGGATCGGTTGAGAAATGGAATTTTCTATTTGGAACATACGGCGGAGCCGGGTAAGCCAGCTAGTAATTCTATAATTCCAATCATCTCAATCAATGAAGTCAGCGTATAAGCTTGGCGATTTACAAATCAAATGATTAAATCAAGTTTCTATTTAAAAATCAACGCGACTGCGTCTAAAGTGCTTCTGACAATTTACGTTAAAATCCGGCTGATGCGATTAGCACCAATCGAGATGATGCTTAGCGCAATAAAAGATTGACCATAACGTATTCGCCTTCATTATGCATCTACTCATTCTCTACCTCCTAGCCATACCTCAGCTATCTTTTACTTGTCATCCTGGTAAGCCTGCTCAGCGTGGTTCAAGTCAAAATTCTGATCAGATGCAGCACAAATCAGGGACCAGTTTGCAAGGAGTTAGAGGTACGATCAGATGTCACAAATCACACGAATTAAAAGAACAACTTTTTACTTTCTAGGTCGGACTTTCCAAGCAGATTCAAGTTTGAGTTTAGAGACAGACAAAATTGTAGAGGATTGGACAAAACGTGACTTGCAAGCTGCGAAAGGTATGCTGTCAGATTTTGCGCAGAACAGCTCATTTTGATCGCCATTTACGTGTCCAATTATGGACACTGCTTCACAACTTTCGGTTGGTCCAAAAAGTTGTTAGCACTATTTTCAGAAAATTCAACCGTAGTCAAATCTAGATGCATTTTCTCACAAATACTATCTGCCTGGAAGCAGAAATCATGAGCTTTACACAAAGAACAAATTCGTGGATTTACTTCTACTTTTTCCACTGCGACCATTTAGTATCTTGGTCTTTGCTTGCAAAAAGGCGTTTTTGAGTAATTTTCTTTATCTGCTTCTATCTTTCGCATCTCATACTAATACACGGCCAAGGTATAAATGCAGTGCATATATTTTTGGTTTTCAAGGAAAACGCTTCTAATAATTTTTTTGAACTTGATCTAAGATGTCAATCTTGAGTAATCTTCTTCCTTTGTTTCTAGCTCTCGTATTCATACTAATTCGAAAAAGGTACTGTTATAAAAAGCATGACTTCTGTTTGAATACGAACATAAAGTATGTTGGAGAAATCCATCAAGGTGCGAAGAAGATATGATCTTTCATTGTTGCAGAACTTTCGGTTTGACCTAATTTTCTTTATGAGCATTCTATCCATTAATTCATTACAGTTGAAACTAAACATTACAAAACGTCGTCCAATAAAGCCACAACGATTCAAGTGCAAAATTTTACTACAAGGGCACTTACCCCAACACCGGACGATGAATTCGAGGGATTGCCTGGTAGCTATATCTAATCAATATTGACTCTTCCACTGTTATGAAAGAAGAAATTTAGAGTGCCAGCATTGTCATAAACTTGCTTCGGACCCGGACCACTGCAAGCCCGAAAAGTGTGTTGCTGTGGAAATCACACTGAGAATCATCGATGACTGCTCTGTTGCCGAGTTACGATGTCCGGAAGGTTTTAGCGCTGTGGAAATCAAAGATTCTGCTGCTAGATCGAAGAGATACGAAGTGGAAGAACTTGCTCTAGCTTATTGCATCAAGGGGATTTGGCAAGCTGAAACACCAGCTGGAAAGATTTCAATGAAGAGTATTGTCTGCAGACCATAAACATTTACATCTACTTTACTAGCTTGGTATATAATATATTTAGAGTGCCAGCCCAAATCGGGCCCCTTGACCACTGAAATTGAAAAAGTGTGGTGCAGTAGAACACTAAATCACTGATGAATGCTTAGTCGCCGAGTTATTTTGTTAGAAAGTTTCGATACATCTAACTTGGAGATTATGGTAGGAATGTGAAGAACGAAGTGGAAGAAATACACTGACTCTCTACATTAAAGGCAGTGTCCCGGCAGATTCGGGTCCTGGGGGATGTACGTGTGGTGGGGTTCCTGGTCATCCCATCGACCTCCAGGCGCACTCCGGCTGGGTGATGTTCCCCCTGGGCCGAGAAAATGGCCCTTGAACCTGCGCGCGCAACCCCAACTGGCGCGCGCTTGGACGGCCTTTCCCGCCTGTTCGGCGCGGGACCCCACGAGCGCTCTCCCCCATGATACATGGGGTAGGGGAACGAAAGCCGCCAGTATGGGCCGCCTCTGCGGACTGCTGGTCCTGGAACGACATGCAACAACACTGCGAAAGGACCAGTTGGCCGCGAAAGTCGGCTCAAACTGGCGGCTTTCGTTCCCCCACCCTGATGCATGCTATCCAAAGCAAGAATTACAGGCGGCAGGGTCTTCGTTTGAGGACCTCCCCCAACTTTCCATTAGAAATCTCGTCCAAGCCGTTTTTCTGGAATTAGGAAAACGCCCCAAAATCGGCCTTTTCAGCCCGTTCAAAGCTCAAATTCGGATTCTACGTGGCGAAAAGGCCTAAAACATGCAAAAAGGTGGAGGTGCAAAATCTGCCGGGACACTGCCTTTAAGAGGATTTCGCAAGCTGAAACACGGCTAGAGAAATGTAATGAAAGCGCATGTTTCATAAGAGAGATCAGTTTGCAAACAAATAATTACTAATAATAACAAATAATTTCATACTTTGCATGTAAAAGTAAGACTGTTTTTATAGTTGGGACTTTGTACTATCGACGCAACTCGCGCTGCAAAATTTAGGCTTCCGAAGTGAGAGAATCGCTTTTTAAGACAAATTTCCGAGGTTAGCAGGGGATGCGTTCGCCCCGCCCATTCAATGATTTTCTTTAACAAGCAGAAAGTCAGAAAATTCATCCGATGACCAATTCATCCGCCCGAGTGACCAATGGTTCTCTGCGTCTGTCCTACCGCTTACTTGCAAGCTAGGAGAAAGGCTCATATACATATTGTGAAGGGCATCGAAAACTTAATAATTTGAGATTTTCGTTTAACTTTAGATTCGGACTTAGCGCGCGCAAGAGGTGCGAAAAAGGACAAAAAGTCGAAATCGATAATTTAGTGGAGGATGCTTTTAACAAGTTTATCCTTGTGATAGGCAAAGTCAGCGTCCAAGCAAATCTGAAAGCCCTCATACAATCCCTTTCCTTTTCATAAGTTTATCATAATTTTTCGTACTTTTCTTTTAATCGTCGTTGCGAAGGGACACAACAAATTTGCGGCCTCATTATTGCCTATGCGCTGTAAACAAAATCATTGCTATTTTTACGCATAGATCGTGTTCTAAGACGCTGAAATCGTATGCACACAATTTGTGCCATGCCAATCTTGGCTTGATTCAGATTGTGACAGACGTAGATTTACATTTCAAACATGACAGCTGATAAAGCTTGCTTGTGACCGGTATTCTAAGCATTCAAAATCGCTTGAAGAATGCGTTGTTCACCTCTCTCGGCTTTCCTGCTCTTACAGCGGCAACAAAGGAGAGTGT